GTTTTTTTCGCAAGCTTTCGGACAAGCACTGAGCATACAGTGCTTATTAATATACGTTGGGTAAAGGGCAAACCCGTTATATAGTTTACATACTATATGTTGCGTTGTGGGGGTTTTTTGTTGGCAGTTTACAAATCAGTGCATATTAACAGTGACAGCTCTTGGATAGTACCATCGCAGTTGTACTGTACATGTGCATTGTATGTTTAAAAGAGTCTATATTTTGCAGTGTAGTCTGCTGTAGGTACTGTGTCGGGGGTTCCATTGGCAAAGAGATTTGATGGCCTGGTTGGGCACCTCAGGCAGCACTTGATTCACCTGTTGTTGTTGGATTATGTATGTCCCCAGGTGCCCTGGCCCAAGCTGAGGAAGGCCCTACAGACGGTCCTCTTCAACCAGTTCTTTGTCAACATCCCCTTTGCCGTATTTCTGTACGTCATGATGCAGTTGCGTGGTTGTAACATCAGCGCTGATCTGCCCACCTTCAAGTGGGTCCTGGTTGAGCTAGGGGTTTTCCTCATCTTTGAGGAGATTGGATTCTACTACTTTCACAGGTGGGAATTTTCTTGACAATTGATCTGCAAACAGTATCACGCAAACACTCTTTCTTTCAATAGCTGCTGAATGGTTGGAGAAAAGTGTACAATGTACTTGGGCTCTTTGCTCTCAAGGTTGTGCGTATGGTGAATATTGTGTCCCGTATGGTCTCCGTTGTTGAAATATTTGAAAGTCAGGACTTCATCCATCAGGGATTGAAGTTGTTGTAGTCATGGGGTCCTTACAAGTGGATCAAAGGTCAACAATAAGCCAGTCTTTGTAAAGTCACAAGGTACCGGGTACACTGACTTGCATTTGGTTGTACTGACACCATTCATTCTGTTTGACCAGACTTGTTTGTGTCCTTTTGATCATTTCTGGACTTCATCACACTGTAGATATGGAGGTTTTGATTTTGTAGTGAGCTGGCCATTGACCAAGTCACTGATTGTATTTCTCTTCACTCTGAGTTGAATTCAAATGGGTCTATTTTCTGAACAGAGAGTGAAAGCAAACATACAGGCTGTAGAAGTTTGGAGTGTATTGTTCATTTTCAACCAGTTACAAACACCGTATGGGTTGACAAGGTATTTAGCGTTCATGTACATGTAGCCTGTGAGATGGTGTACCCGTTGCAGCAGTTTTTACATCGAATTTAGGTCACACCTAGCACCTGCAGCACCTCCTTGCAGTGAGATGTACATGCAGAACTTTAAATGTGGATTATTGTCTTGCTTCCAGACTTCTGCATCACCCCCGCATGTACAAGCACTTTCACAAGAAGCACCATGAGTGGACCGCCCCCATCGGTGTGACTGCCATCTACGCACACCCGTTGGAGCACGTGCTGGCCAATATGTTGCCCCCCGTCATCGGTCCCCTCCTGATGGGCTCCCACGTAGCTGTGCTGTGGGTCTGGTTCCTGATTGTGGAGGCCTCAGCTATTGTGGCCCACTGTGGCTACCATCTGCCTCTGTTACCCTCACCAGAGGCCCACGATTTTCATCACCTCAAGTGAGATCTTGGTTTGAATTAAGTCCAAAAAAGTAAAACTAAAAGTTTTCTAGCTACGAAAGGGACCTTGTCATTTCTCAGAAGTCCCAATTTCCCCGAGCGGAGAATCTTGCCCGGTAAATTCATATCTAGACAGAAAATAGCCGAGCGACCTTTTGGGTTGTAACCTACAGTACATGTGTGTTTTTGCGTCGCAGATTTATCTCCGTGTTAGCAGATACAGTACAGGTCAGAATTCTAGCTGACACGCAAACATTTATAGCGTGTCGGCGTGTATCGAGTCAAACAGACACGAGAGGTGTTAACCGCAAACACGAAACACGCTGACCCCTGCATAACAGAGAATGCCAACACCGCAATCCGATCTGCCGAGTGTAAACATGCACATGTAACACGCAAACCCCAGAACAGCCAGGCCTTTGTTGACCCTTGGTTGACTGGAGCAGTCATTTTCTTAGTTTCACACAACAGAAAGTATTCAGTTTGACTGCAGCTCAAGTTATCTTCAAATTCCACGGAAATGTTGTCAGTAGTTTACCTTGTATGTAGGAGGCATCACAAAATCATTTTCAAAGATAAAGCGTATTGTTTGGCCATATAGGATCGATGAAAGTGCCATGCAGGCAACACTTTTTGGTTTATGTCTGAATTGCTCCCAAAACTTCTGAATCAAGCACAGAAAATATTCAAGTGTGAAATCAATTTTTCAATCGAGACAATTATAACTAGCATTTTTTATGCCAAAACATTTCTTAAATTAGAGAAAACTATTTTGTAAGAAATCCACCAAATATGAACAGGGTTTGACCTTGCTGCACTGGTCCGCTAGCCAAATTTAAGTCAAGATGGCCCGGCTCCACGGCAGCGATCCTAGCATACACGTACACTGTAGATACATATACATGTAGTAGTTACTGTACTCAAGCTCAGTGTGTTCAAAATCGCGTGAATATAAATTCAATGTGAGGTGGGGATTTTTTCTATCAGTTTTCGACCTTTGAGCTAGAAAATGGAGCACGAAGCATGGTGCGAAGCGAATTCGTCCGTGTAACACTAGAAGACCTGTTACGTGTCTATTGTCTACATCACAAAATTCCCTCGCTTTTGCTCTTCCAAAAGAACTAGGCGTCATGTACAGTTAATGTACATGCACATGTGAGTGCGTGTGTGTCCAGCTGGCCTCCCGTACTGCGCAGTCACTTACAGCGTTGTGTTTTGGATCATTCAATACTTTTTGTAGCAAGTGTTAAAGGTAACTTAACCACTACCAGCCGGGGACTCCGGAATCAGAGCCGTA